TCAAATATGCACGATTATGTCAGTCCTAACGGTGGCTTGTCGCAAAACATTTTTTAAATTTTATTCTATATAGAGCTTTTTCTTGATTGTACTCCTCTTCCTAATTCGTAGTGCTCTTCTTCATAACAATAACATGCCTTGCATCGCTGACAAGTCGCAGATAGGAAAAATATATTCGTAATTGACCATTTGGCCCCACTGACCATATGTTGGTGCATAACTGCAACTTAGCTGCCAAGCAGCACATCTTCTTTTTGCTTATCTTTACTTCATCGTAATCTTCCTACTTCTAAATGGTAGCATTATGTAGCGGTGGGTTACATAAATCGGAACCACTTTCCGGTGCTGCGCAAGCATATATATACTATACGCAAGCTGTCATCAGACGGCGGCACGTGGCTAAATGCTGTCAACTAGGTCCGACTATCTCGTTAACTAGGTGTAATACTAGCTTGTAAGTCATTTGAACACGCAGGGACGAAGCTGATTACGTTGTCCAAATAATCTTCACGTCCGTGCAGCTTGTACTTACTGCTAGGACGGATGTTTAGGGCTATAAACACGGACAATTGTTTTTTTTTCTTTTTGCATTGATGAAGGCAGGAAAATGTGTAGATTATGCTTTGTTATTTCTTCTTTACCACTTAGTATTCCTCTAGCTTTAGTTAAGTGATCTTCAGTATTACCATTGATTTGAAAAAAATATATATGTTCAGTGACATAGTCTTCTGCTTTTTAATCAAACCTGCTTTCTTGAACGAACTAAATTCCGACGTACCTCGTATATGGATACGCCTGTGACGTTAGCTAGCGTTATCACCATGGCACTTTGTGGGAATAATGGAGAGTCCTCGAGAAAACGCAATGTACGAGCTTGAGTGATTCCTTCGGAGCACTCGAAACAGCAATGATGACGTCCACCGAGCACTCAGTGCTCTCCCCTTGAAAAATCATCGCGGAGAGCGCACGCAACCGGAACACACGTTGAGTGCCTCGGCCTTGAAGACCAATCTCAAAGGACATTTCTTTATCAGTGATACTGCAGGCTTTGAAGACAATTATGAAACTAATGAAGAGATATAAGAAATATATATATATACGTTCTTGAACCCTGAACATACATGTACCGAAGCAAGTCTCTGTATCGTATTTACGAAGAAAAAAAAAATAAAACGAGGACTAGACACACAAGTTGCTTTTCCTACTCAGCACATGCAGTGTACATGGTGTGTGAGTGATATGAAGCTGTAGCAGAAGGTTGCCCGCGCGAATACAATAAGAAATAAAAAGGGACCTTCAGTAAATCGCACTCTTAAGAACTAAAAAATTCGCGTTATTGTTGAGTGACGTCTTGTCCATATCAGAAAGGAGGTAAACAAGGCACGGACATATTGTGCATTTTTTGTGTACAGGAGAAACAACAACAACGTGTCAAGCACGAATAAATATGCCTCTCTCAGAGCGATGTACTAAAGGAAGTGGTTTGTCGGTGCGAGGAGAGCATATCTTGGCGAAAATAAAACAGAATGTAGGGGGCATTAAGAGTGACACAGTCAAGTTTTTTTCAGCACAGAAGCGCCGAAGTTTTTAGAGGTGGCAGAAAATGTGAATGATGTTACCTCTACGTTCAGCTATTTTATTAAAATTGGACAAAAATAAGCTCAAAATTATATAGCTGGCACCAAGGAACTTCATGCTGCTGTGTAGTAAGAAGAGTCTTGAAGCACCAGAGTTACTGCGTGTACTAGGAACATTGTTCATTGAAGTCGTGGAATTTGCATATCATGATAATAAATTCACTCAGCAACATCCTGATTATAAAGGATATCCTGCTAAGGAATAGGTTTTCTTGCTACCTGACGGCAAGATCAAGAGTTGGCAGAGCGGACGGTAGAGCGAAAGTACACAGACGTGTCAAAGTCCACAGGACCTGATGTTTTCTTCAATGGTGTTAAACAAATGTGCTAACACTGTGAATATATGTGATTTTATAACATCATTTATAGAGTTCAATAAAATTACCTGGAGGGGACTCTTGCACTGCGATCCTCAGCCACCATAGGAATAATGAGGTGTACACAACTTTGCCTAGTGTTCGTTCTGGCGTGCTTCGAATGATTTTGTAGCATGAGTTTATTATTGTGTTTCGGGTTTGTTTGGAATAAAATAGCGAACCAATTTGAACTTCGTTACAGGATTTGAAATCATCAGTTTATACAAGCTGGCGAAATGAGACTGCTGAAGATTCGCTGATTGTGATTTCGGGACAAAGCAGCTCTAACCCACGCTAAGCGAAACAGAGCTGAAAGAACAAAAATTAGTTAAATTTGTGTGCCACCTATCATTATCATGCTGGCGGAAGCAGCGTGCATTGTACCGCCCTTTTACACTAGCCCCAGAGTTATACCTAGAGTGTATTTATGAAAAAACTCCATATGATTCGAATGAAGTAATGTCCCTGACGATCGGAAGACAGCTAACGTTGGGTACATGTTTATTGTGGGGCTCTAACAGAGATTTCTCGAATAAAAGAGACCAATTTCGCTTGTTTGCATGTAAAAACCTTCAGGTCCTGATGGAGTACCGAATGAGTTTTTAAAATGCTATGCACAATGGGTTTAGAGTACCTAACAATTCTTTTTTCTAAATCTCTGAAAGATGGTCAAGTTCCGGATGACTGGGTAACTGCTAAAGTCAAGCCCCTACATAAGAGTGGAAATCCCCATTCTTTTATTAACTATCGGCCGATCTCATTAATTCCAACTTCCTGTAAACTACTTGAGCATATATAACATCACCATATTTCAGAATTTCTAGATAAGCACCATATTTTGTCAGGTTCACAACACGGAATCAGGAAAGGATTTTCTACTTGTACTCAGCTGGTAACTACAGTTCATTTTTTCGCACTATCTGTAAATTCCGAAAAACAGGTAGATGCAATTTCTATGGATTTTGCTAAAGCTTTCGATACGGTCTCTCACAATAAATTACTCTTCAAATTAGATTTAATTCTTAAGAATACTCAGCTTCTAAATTGGATTTCCGGTTATCTTTCGAATTGAAAACAGTACGTCTTTTTCAATGACCATTGTTCTCATGCAGTACCGGTTGACTCGGGCGTTCCTTGAGGCTCTATGCTCGGACCCCTCCTCTTTTTATTGTTTATAAATGATATATCACACGATATACCTGCAAAAGTTAAGTTATATGCGGATGATTGCATCCTGTACTCGGATGTAGAAAACCATACTGATGAAATTTATTTAAACGATGCATTTCAAAATGTCATTCGTTGGTGCGATAAATGGCAGATGTCAGTTAATTTTAAAAAGACCGTTTTTATAAAAATTTCTCACAAACGTAACACTCTTCATTTTGCATATTCAGCTAATAATGTTTTTTGCAGGAGGTACAACACTACGAGTACCTTGGTCTTTGGATTTCGAATGACCTTAACTGGACGAAACATATTACCACTGTAATTAGCTCGTGCAATTACAAATTATTTTATCTTAGACGAGCTCTTAAGCACTCTACTCCCGCCGTTCGCCTTGTGGCATTTTAATGCAATTGTTCAACCTACTTTAGATTATGCATCCATAATTTGGTACCCTTACACCAGAAAAAAAATCAGCGAAATGGAAACAATTCGAAAGAGAGCTGTTAGGTTTATTTATAACAGTTTTGATCGTACTTCAATAACATGTTTATTAGCAAAAGCTAACCTCCCAACACCTGCACAAAGAAATAAAGTATTGAGATTAAAAATTTTCTTTCAGTACGTAAAGGTTATTTTAAGTTAGACTTATCAAATATACTTCATTTGTCCACAGAATATACCACAAGGCACAGGCATGCCTTTACAATAACCCCATTTTAGACCCGTAATAACACATTCAAGTATTCGTTCTCCCCTAGGACAATTACCGAATTGAATAACCTTAGTAACGAAGTTGTTTCCCCAGTAATCCTTGAACCTTTTTGCTGCGCAGCTTTAGCAGCGACTGTCTAATTTCTATGACATGTGCTCTTGTTATTTATTTCAATCACTGTAACCATTCTTCACTTGTGATCATCTTGAATGTAGCGCTCAGTTCTCTATATGTTCTTATGCCGGTTTATTACAAACCACTGTTCTTTTTTTTTTTCGTTCTGAAAGTGTGTAAATGCCTTACCTGTTTTATATTTATTTGTTTGCCGATTTGTAAATTTATCAAATGTATATCCACCCTGCCAAAACCCTATGTTAGGGTCGCAGTATTCTTAAATAAATAAATAAATAAATAAATAGATTCAGTGTTTCCCTTTTTTACTCTGTGAGTTATGAAACTACAAGCAACTCTCACACAGAAAAGGCTTTATTGAACTAAACAGCTACTTGAATGTAGCCATTAGGTTTAACACTATCTGAGCTATCTTTAGTGTCAGAAGTCGATTAGGTTGCGTACAAAACATTAACCATCACCAATGGGTGGGCTTGTGATTTTCTTTTTTTTTTTACCGTTCCGCCACCGTGTGGGATTCCGCATAACCAATTTGCTATATAGTTCGCTCATTCCTCAATATCAGAAAAGTGCACTACCATGGGTACCACTAAAGCTTTTTACAAAAACTTCTTTTAACCTTCAAAATTTATATGAAAGTGCGAAAATAACGCCAACACAAAAGAGGACACCGGACACGTACACTCTGTTCAGTGTGCTTTGTTGTGTTTACGTTTCTTTTTTTTTTTGCTAGTTATTATCAACTATGAACATACACCAAGTCACCAACACAAAGAGTTATCTTATTCTTAGAACATACGCTAAGACATGCATGTCAAATTTATTCAAATACTAATTTGACGTCTAAATCAAGAGAAATTGTTTCAGTGAAATTCGCTGCAATGATTCCATCCTCGAGCACGTACAAGATCATCTACAAGATCTACCACACATACGCCGATATGTTGAAAGAGCTACAACTGGAGCAGCTACAACGTGCAGCCGGCCACTCGCCTTCATTTTTGCCGAGAGCTGCTGCTGGTCTCTCTGAGCATCTGCGTTTCCCGGAGAAGTGTGACGCCACATCTTCCAACCGATGGAAGAGTAGGTAAATGTCAGTGCCAGCATCGGGGTCAGGAACGTCACCGTGAATATCACAGCCGTGTACACCTGCGTGAGGGAGAGAAGCGGAATGGGTAGGCGTGAAGATGAGTTATATGAGAGCGCTAGATAAGAAACCGCTAGCAGAAATACCACATAAAATCTGCTAACTGACGAATAAGATTCCCCTTGTCAGCATTACTTTTTTCATTCATCGGCTAAAATCTAGTGAAAAATGAACAGACAAAACTATTTGAACTAGGCGCATTATGTTTATCTAGCAAGTATATTATAAAGAAATATACTATATAAAGAGTGGTCACTGGAGCCTTTTCACGGCCCAGCAAAAAACAAGAAAGAAAGGGTCTGACCAACCACTAGGTGGCGTACCCATGCTCGCTTTTACTCCTTTGTTAAGACATGTAATATCCTCCTCAAGAGGACATTGAAAACCCAAGTTTGGCACCACGTTCTTTCAAAGAAAAAATTTATTATATTTTGCAATTTTCTAAGTCCGCTCGATACAATGCCCTGCTGTTGTGGACATTAGATGCCTTATAACAAAAAAAAACAATGAAGTATGACTAGTAGGTGTTTTCTTTCAGCATTTATTTTGCGCTTAAGGGCACATTTATGTGGTTTAGATGTACTGTACATGTATTCCCTCTGAGGGAACACGGGTGTGTAGCCTAGTTGTAAAGTCACTCGCTTTCGGAGCATGAGGGTACGGGATCAAATCACAGCGTTGGAAAGAAAAGATCTGTGGTTTTATTTATGCTGAGCACATTATCGGTTCTGATCAACCACTCATGGCGCTGAAAGCAGTGCAGTAGCTCGGCTGCAGGGCCCTACGGGAGTGTTCTCTTTTTATACGTGTTTCTCTATGAGTATACAACGTGCACGCATCACCCTGTAGAAAAGCATGTTGATTCGTAATATAGTTAATAGGACTGGGATATATTTACATACCTGCGCAGTGAATAGAGAAAGCTCTAGGCAGTACTTGCTGTCACACTGCCAGAAAAGCAAGAGTCAACCGTTGAAGCATTTCTTTTCAAGAGTGAGTCACATGATGTTTACAACAGGACAGCAACAGAGACGCACGCTTTTTTTTTCGTCTATAAGAATAGTGCTGTCACAAACTACATTTTCGCACATATAACTTTTAAGCGAAACAACAAGAAAGAAGGTGACGGCACACAGGCACGTTGTAATCGTTGATTGAACGTTGAGTGTTCATAGGTTTGCGTTTATGTTGCGTCACCCTGCAAGAGAAATCTTAAGGCATGGTTTTCATGCACGTATATATTCTGTTTCATGGGTATAATGAATGAACCCGCCCCTTCATTTAATTAAAGAGCTGCAGAAAACAATCCTTTTTTAAATGAATGGTTTTTGTAAGTGTACTTCAATATTCGTAGGTCCAAACAGACGCGGCGTTAGATTGTTAGCATTAAAGACATTCCTTGCTCAACAGCATTCATTCACAATAAAACAACCACAACAAGGCGTATTCCAGCTATACTTATACTATGGTCATGATTTTCGCTGTTTGTCACTACTAAAGCATTTATAATAAATGAAGCTGGATTAGCTGATTTCTCCAAATCAGGTCTCCATCAGTGCTGCTATACGTAAATTTGCCATGAGGCTAGCGAAAGCATCGGCACGCACCTTGCCAGCGTTGGCCTCCCAGTCCTCGGTGCAGTCGTAGTAGATTTCCTCTGCCCAGGTGAACTCTTTGGCTCGACCGTAGACAAGCTGCACACTGGACAGCATACCTGCCACCACCCAGATGGCTAGGATGATGTGCGGTCCCCGACGCCGAGTCCACCGGAAGCTCAGCGGATACATTATGGCGTAATACCTGCGCCACATGGAGGGAAATAAAAGAAGAAAGATGGAATGCCATTAGAGTTTGTGAGCTGAGGACTTAGTGCCGGATAAAACCCATAGATAGCACGTGGAGGCCGAACAAAAAATACACATTTACTGTGTGCAGTCCACGCTCAAACTAAATGATGATGATGATGATGATGATGATCCTTGATACCCTGGCACACACCCACAAAGGGGGATCGACCAAGAACCGGGCGGCAGGACGTAAGATTTCGAGCGCGTGCCCCAGAGTGTTTCATCTTCTTTTTTTCCGACCAGCGCCCCCACAAATTTTAGTGCTGCCTCTTCGTCACTTATTTTATTTCACACTTTTCTATTCATTTCCGCGCATTATAAATTATAGAGAAACTGTAAAATCAATAAACAATAATACAACATAGGACCTACACTTGATGAATGCCCTTAAAAAGTGAAAACAAAGCATTAACTTGTCCTGAATCAGGTATTGAGCTTGATAACACCTAACTCTGCTGGAAATAGTTTGTAAACGTTGAGGCGACAGCACGTCACTTAAAAGAATCCATCACTTTCTTGAATGCCAAATTTTAGAGAAGGGTGAATATTTTTTGTACTGATTACTGTACCGGTACGAATTCGCGTAATTGTGCACGAATATTTTGGTGAAGAACGCCCGCTGTTTTAAAATTGTCCACCTCATTGGAGCCCCTTCCGCATTTCTGGCAAATCTCGGCACGCCACGAACCATTCCGTATGCGTAGTTAACTGACTGGGAAAGCTCGAAATATTGAGGTGCTGAGCAAAGGGCCATTAACTACACTGTTGGAAAGTAAATATTGATCACTAGTGCACAGTACGCTTCAAGGACCGCTGAAGAGTTTTTCCATTTTTGCGATGAAACGGCACTCAGCAGGCCCGCTAAAATGGCAGCGCATGTGCAGACGCAGATGTTGAAAAGAGATTCAATGATTTGTCGGGTTTAACGCATCAAAACCACCATATGATTATGAGAGACGCCGTAGTGGAGGGCTCCGGAAATTTCTAACACCTGTAGTTCTTTAACGTGCACCCAAATCTGAGCACACGGGCCTACAACATTTCCGCCTCCGTCGGAAATGCAGCCGCCACAGCCGGGATTTCATCCCGTGACCTGCGGGTCAGCAGCCGAGTACCTTAGCCACTAGACCACCGTGGTGGGGCGATGTTGAAAACAGTGGAAACAGTTACGTCTCATTAGGTTGCGTCTCGGATATCCTGAGGCATACGCCATCCCGCAGTGAACGAAAAATAGGTGTCGCATCAGGAATACATCTTTCATTGCTGGGTATGCAGTAAATTGCACTGCTCCAAACAAGCGTGCTTGAAACACTAGCAAAATAACATCACGACAGATATCACTAATGACATGGCTTTATGCCGACGAATATGCTGGCTGTTCCACAACAGATGAAAGCTGTATCTGTCTTTCCGTATGCACCTACAATCTACGCAAGTAGGCACAGCTAGAATTTGTAACTGCCTTATTATTGCTTTTGTATAAAATTTGACTACATATCACCGCCTTGAATATGGCTAGTGCAAGCGCTCTGTATAGGCTACGGAGCAAGAAAGAGGTGCAGAAACTCCGGGCTGGCGCCAGCGCAAGCGCGTGCCGCGATGTCACCCTGGGAGAGGAGGTTAGCGAACGTGCGCGCAGCGATCCTTGCGGCGGCGAAGAGAACTATTCGTTTTCGGCCCCAGGAGGAGAGCGCGCACGTCCATGGCGCCCGAGTGTTGTCTGCTACTCCTGCTTCTTGCCGACTCCACTATGCTACTGGATGCATTTACGAGTTTTTCGCCGGCGTGGTTTGCCAAAACAAAATGAAGCAAGTAGAACGTCTCAGTGCCAATATTTTTAATTATTTGTGTTGGATCAGATGCTCTGCGGAAAACGAAAGAAATAAAGTGGTAGAATAAAAAAAAAAAGACGATCTGTAATTGTAGCTAGACGCGTGCCTAAAATCACCTATTGTGCAGCTTGGTGATAGAACTTGCACATTCGTCGATATAACAGTGTCAAACAGAACCTCTGCGCGCGAAAGAACGACCGGCATTAATGAAGCACGTTTGAGCAGACTGCAATTGATTTGAACAGAAGAGCGGAGACTGCCTCGAGCTGTGAGTCAATCCTGCGTAAAAAAAGTTTGACCTTTCAATGCTCCGTCCGACCAAGAACGTAGCAAGTATGGGCGAGGGCTATATGAAGACAAGATAGACAATGGAAGAGAAGCGATGGCGCCTAGGAAAATTATTTTCGCAGCGGAATGGTCGGCAGGCGTTACACAATGCTAAGTTTAAATTTACAGATATTTCTGACGAACCAAAGATCTTGTTACTCCCTGAAGAAGCACCTTAAGTTTTCGAGCGAAGGTTCGCCTTATTCGTTCCCAGAAAGGAAGCCAACAACTGACCAGAATATTGTTTAAATTAGCGATAAAACTAGTGCCAAATGAGCAAGGTAGAGGATACACGTCACGAGTCAGACGTCTTCGGCGAATAATTTACCAACCTCCAAACTTCCAGGTAAGCTCTTCGCGAAAAGAAGCATTGTCCTCAGTTTTACGCGTTTGGTTGTTGTAGCTTGGCATGAACGATTGATTTTCAGGAAGTTCGAACATAAAACAAGCTTCAAAAAAGAGCATACACATGAGATAAATTTTTTCTGCTTTTTCGTTTCAATTTGCTTTATTTTTCTTTATTATGAAAAGCTCCCTTTGTATGTTTTTATTACCGCATGTTTTATGCCAGGTTCCCACAAATATTATTTCTACCCACGCAAGCGATGGTGAAAGAGTAAAAGCGAACCTATTTAGTGCTTGTGGACAGCTTCCCGAAACTATCGCGGTATGGTCTCTCCCAAGGCGATCTAGCTAGCTTTGCGAAAACTTGTCGTAACTAGTTGCCGTTTCGGTAAGCGAGTGTATCTGAGCTACATACTGACACACTGAGCAGCAGACACAAGCGTGCAAGCAGACGACGCTTCTCGCGTCTGCTCTCTGGCGCGGAAGTTCGGCCGTGGTTCTGTAAGTGGCGCTGGTATGATGTTCGCCACCGCTCGGAGGGGGGGGGGGGGGGGTGACACAATCGCAGCGCGCAAAAGAGCCGAATTTCTCCTCATGTCTATTTTTCTTCCGAGGACACGACATTCCTGAACACAGTATAGCGAGGACAGAAAACATATACCATCGACACAGCCGATGATCGAGAGGCAGAAGACGGTTATATTGTTTGACCTTGATATTTGATGTGCACTTCTCCTTCGATGCTAGAGATTACTTTACAAGCATATTCGTCTGAAAACCATGAATAGGACTTACAACTGCTGTCTTTTTGAGTGGTCGATTGCTTGCATTGACTACATACATAGAAATGCGAGGAAAAAACTCGGATACTTAAGAAGGTACTTGAGTAAGTCCTCTCCAGAAGTTAAAATATTAGCCTATAAAACATTTATTCGACCACTTCTGGAATACTGCGCCGCTGTTTGGGATCCATACACAAAAAGAAACATTTTAATATTGAAAAATGTACATAGGAAATCAATTTGGTTCATCTTTTATCGATACAGCTGGGAGGCGTCAGTCACATCTCTTCTACAAATAGCTGAGCTCTCAAAATTAGCAAATCACTGATACCACGAACGAATGAAACTATTTCACCTTCTTTATTATGAACAGTTAGGTATAAAAAATGATACATATATAAAAGACTCCCACCAGCGTCTTATTTAGCCCCTTCATAATAAATAAGTAACCAAGTTCTCTGGACACCTACATTTTCCACTACTCTTTTTTTTTTTCCGAGAACTGCAACCGATTGGATTTCCCTCCCTTCAGCTGTGGTGAAATGCCCCTTCGCTATCATCCTATCTACAGGCCCTTCCGTTTATGGGACATAGCTTTGACATAGCTTTACAAGAAACATGGCGCTCTTTTTCTTCCTTATATTTACGTATTCTTGTTTTCACTAACTTAAATAGCTTGCTGCTTTGCTTGTAAGAATTTGTTGTATTCTTCCTTTGTTGTTATTATCGCCGCAAGGCTTCATATTTGTTTACTAAAACCATTTTTGTTATTCACTTGTACCCACTCTTGCCTACGGTAAGAAGGTCAGAGTGGCAGTATTGTGTTAAATAAAATAAAATAAATAGAGTCCTTGAAGAGACTGAATAAAAGATTATTAAGATTCCGCGGTACATGATTTGAGTGGTAACTTGCATATAACCCTTGAAAAGCCTGAAAAAAAAATTTCGAAGACAATTTCATACTATATGAGCAAATAAACAATTTCAGTTTTTTGCTTCCTGATTATTCAAGATAATCCAACGTAACCTACAGCTTCCACAGCAAAAAAAATCTCATTCTTATGTGTTCTCTCCTAATATTTTGAAGGGCAAAATAATTTTTCAATGAATGAATGTTAGGTATACTGCTGATTCGCGGTTACATATTTTCCTGTTTCTTCTTGTTTTACTCCTACCCTCGTACTTACCACTAAGAACGTAAAGTAATCAACTGATAGCAAAACAAACTGAAGGAGCCATGAGTTTAAGAAAGATAATTCAGTCAAGTTGCACTTTTTATAGAAAAACAGTAATTTTATGCGTACTGATAAACCAAAACCTAATAGTTTCCTTTCGGAACGAGTACGAACTGATCGTTAGCAACGCAGAGCCTGGAGCGCAGTATAGCTACTTCATGTGCACAGCACGTGACGAAGAATGCGCAGATGAAGCTTGGGAAATAAGAGCCGCTTGATATTGTTAAAAATAGGCTGCAGCTTGCTGTTCGACTTCAATTTTCCTAACAATGTAAATGCAAAAACGAATCAATACGCTGATATAGATGGTTGCGTTTAATTTGAGATGATTTTTATCGTAGCTCTAGCAAGCTAAACTGTTGTACGTCCCGAGCCAGCAATTTTTTGTAATAACTTTTTATATATTAGCTGATAAGCGGGAAGAT